CTTTTAGAGGGAACAATGACATGTGGCTATCAAACAACTTTGGCTATAAAAGCAACTATGAGAAGCCTGTGTAGCTGGGTATTCAAGTCAGATAAACTGTCATCTTAGGGCTCATTTTTAAACTGTTTTTGCTTTCACAGGTGAATATTTTTATTCCTTTTGATTCTTATTACAAGAGATCTCTGTTACTTGACCTACAAAGTTCTGACTAGTCTTATTACAAACCTAAAAATTATAAAAGGATTATTATAATTCAACTTGGCCAAATACATCTGAGTGCACTCTGGTTTATAACCAAACTGTTTTTTTGTGTGTGTGTGTGTGTGTGTGTGTGTGTGTGTGTGTGTGTGTGTGTTCAATTTGTTACAGCACATACAGCTGTTTTATTTGAGCTTTTTTCTTTTGGAATTTTGGATTTTTTAAAGATGTTTGCCTGTCAGTCAAGTTGGCCTATAGATAAATGTCATTAAAGACATGTTTCCCCCAGGTTGCCAGATGACTCAAATAATGTCAACTGGTTTTACAAATACAGTACATATTGTTGTACTCAGGAATCTTTCATTGATCAAGAATAATGTTAATTATTATATTCTGGCTCTCAAAGGACATCTAAAAATTTGTTAAGATAATTAAATAAAGACTCTTGGGCTTAGGAAAACTACTGGACAGGACCCCCCTTGGAGAAAGAAACAGCTCCCTGGAAAAATTTATTCCAGCCTTTGTTCACAAAGGGGACCCCAATAATTTCTATAGCCTTGTGGAAAAGTCATTGCTAAACATATTGTGATATGTACACACTGTTCATGGTCCAATGGCTAAGTTTTCTGTGGAAAAACAAGGTTTTATTTTAAATGTTCTTGGTATAAAACAAAATTAAGGGACCAAAGGTTTTATGTAACTAATAGTCATTGTTATTTCACGGTGTACTAAGTATCCTTCACACCTTCTAAGTGTACAGGTATTTATGGTAATGATCATTTTTGACTCAGGTATCTGTTTTCCTCTTGTGCTTCAGCTACTTCTGATAAGAGGGACATGTCAAGCCAGCATGAGTAAAGCAGTCAACCAATCAAATAATAGTTTTTCTCAAGAAAAAAATGTTTCCAGCATTACATAGTTTTTATTGTCAAAAACTATAAATATGCACAGAACCTTATATTTTAAACTTGAAAAATAAGATTTCCTGATCAATTTTTAAACATTCCACTTGAAAAGAGTCAGTTGATTTTTAACTTATTTCTTTAAAACAGTTTAATACCCAGTCAATTCATCTGAGAGCCACTTAACTTCAGGTAAGGTGAAAAACTGCCAGCTGTACTTCTGCAGAAACCCCATAAAACTGGTGTAAAGAACTCAAAAAAATAAAGATTATAATTTAGCAAATGCAGTCAACAATTCTTTCCTTCAGTTTGGATAGATACATCCTTGTGTGGCATCTTCTTTGTGACAGATATTAAAACTAAGCATAAAATAAGATGAAATTTAGAGATCTTTGAATCACTGTATTATTAAATCTTAAACTAAGACTTTCAAACTGATTATTTCATTTCAAATATGATGACATAATTGATCATGACATTCTCATTAAAATTTTTGCAAATTTATGGATCAATTATATTGCTTTCATTAAAATGTAATTACAGTTTTATAAAGTAACATGTTTATATTTTACATATTTTATTTAATATCAACTTTACTAAGCTTCTGATTTACAATAACTAGAATATAGAAATATAATGAAAGGTACATATGTTCTAAATTTTAAATGTATATATACAATGCACTGATGCTTAAAGCATTTCTACAAATGGAATATAATTTTAAAACTTCAAAGATCACTATCCTAATGTTTTCTACTTCAAATAACAATCTTTTAAAAATTAGAAAGCCATTAAAAGAAAATCTTTAAAACAAAAATTATCAAGGTATTTTGTTTTTAATAAACTATTCTATAGGAGACAATTTACACAAAACAAACACTGATATGAAATTAGGTTAAGAATTAATTGGATACTGAAATCATGATCAATCCCATCTTGCAGTTACCTCGATCAGCTATGAAGACATCCGGGTATTACTGCAGTCTAGTTCAGAGTGTTAGTTCAGGCTTCATTTCGTGTTCACAAAATATTTAATAACCACCCAGCGATGCTATGCCAACCTCACTAAGAATTACTTTCCTCAGAAAACTTTGCATGTCTTTGAAAAATGCTTCTGAGGCTTCTGTCACCGGGTCCATACTACTTGACTATTACAAACGGCACATCTGCTATTCCTGGGTATTTAACATACCTAGGAGGCTAAAAGTCAACACCCCAGGAAGATAGAAAAATTAAAATATTTGCCTCACTTAAAATTCCAAAACTGCTATCTATAGGAGAAGAATGCTAAGCCTGAGCAAAATACATAATTCACTGCAGATTATGGTTAGGTCTCTATTTCTGGTGATATTCATAAAGACAGAACATTATATCCTAAAACTATGAATCACATGGGCTACTTCCCAAAGTACACAGTTTACTCAGTGATCCCTGGGGATAACAGAAGATTAGAAGAACAAAGGAAAGTTAGCACAGATGAGAAATGCCCCAAGCAAGAGACTTTTCTTTCCATTTTCCCAAGTAGCAAAAATGTCAAGGGAAGCCAGCTTCTACTCTCTGAGTTCACATCAATACAGAGAAGGAATGAAAGGGCTATTTCTAGTAACCAGACGATGTGATACAGAGCCCGTGTAGGTGCCAAGAGTCACCAGCACCAACTACAGGACCTTAAGAGAGCAAATGAAGAAAATACGGTGGGTTCCGTAACAGCCATGTATAAGGCTTACCTGTCCCACCAAGACCTCAGGGGCCCAGCCCAGGACATAAACTTCCCCTACTCTCGATTCTGATAACCAGACAAGGAAAATGCATTTGGATACAATGTGCATTCTATGTACCCAGGATTTTCCATATTTTTGGTCAATGGACCTCCTTCTACAGGAGTTTCAAATGAAATTCACTGAACTGTCAACTGTCCTGTATGATGTGATTGTCTAGTTTTTCCAACAGGAAATGAGTAACTAGAATGCTCCAATATATCCTTGTTAAAATTATCTATTTCAACCTAATCTTTGTAAATCAGGAGGGGGCGATATATTATCTCGAAAAAATTTAGTTTATTTAAAATTTTAACAAAACTTAAAACCCAGAAAATCAATGTTCCTCATACAATGACACTGAAGAAAAGGAGAAAGAGGTCCTTGCTATATGACCATCTAGTCAAGTAGAGAGGTTTTTGGTAATGTGACCATCTGGGCAAGTATATAAAGGTGCAATAAAGACACAAAACTACGCAGTTTATTTATTACCAGCAAGCAGCAAAATCGCAAACTGAAAAGTAGTTTCTTCCTGTTTCGAAACAGACTGCATTTGAAACAGCCAGGAGCACACTGAAACAGGGCTGTGCAGAAATGAGTAGACACAGCTTGATACCCACAGTCTGACACCCGTGCAGAAGAACGTCCACCCTGGCTACAAGGTGATGCTGAGTAGCTACATGCCATCGACATGATGATAATAATCAGACTGAAGACAGCCCACCACACCAGTGATTAAAATTTATCCTTTAGAAAGGCCACAGGGAAGTGGAGGTTCAAATATGTTCAAAACCATTAGAATAAACAGGAAAAGGAAACATGAAAGGGTCTCAACACATACATTAACAAGGTAGAAACACATCCATCATTTGGTCTCATGGCAGTGTGAGGGTAGGGTGACAGGCAGCTGTGGATGGTCGGCTGGGTGGAGGGAGATACAAAAGGAAACATGAGGGTGTGTGTGTTACTAAGGAAGAGGAAGATGATCACAGGGACACGAGGGAGAAGGTACAGGGGATGCGGGAGATTGTGGAGGTATCTGGAGGGATTGAAGACATGACAGCCAAGGGGTGTTCTGGTGGACACCTGAGGACATAAGGGATGTGGGGACAGGGGAAGGCTAGTTGGGGACATGGGAGGATGGTGATGTGTGGGTTGTGTTGACAGGGATATGTATAGTAGGTTGTACATGTGGTAAGCATGCAACACGTGTGTTATGCATGTATACTTGTATACGTCTGTGTACTTTTGTTTATGTAATCGCAAAAATGAGTGATTAATGTTAAATTTGCTAAATGTACAATGCCTTACTTCCGCACTCTATGCAAAATGTATAACTGCCATTTGCATGTGGTAAAAATTCAAATTAAGCATGCTGATTAATACATTTGTGGAAGTATCTTCTCTTCTTTAAACAAATCAAGCTGACTCTCCTCACAAATTCATGAAATCAATACTGGAGTAATCCAAGTATTTACAATCAGAAACCTTACTGTACATTTGTTTCATAGCCATTTTGAGGCCTCAGGGATAGATTACTAAAAGTGAAATTATTAGCATGTCATAGCATTTCTTCTTGGAAACTACAGACAGTCTTTATTTATAGGACCATGAATTCTCTTCATCAACCAGAATCCCACCAAACCAGGTATGGGTGGGAGTTAAAAACTGGAAAAACACACATACATACACGATTCCTTTCCAGGTCCTTACAGTTTCCTCCTTGCTTTCAAAATCGCCCTGCCTGACCTTCTCTCTTTCTTTTTAATAGATGGTAGTATGTCTGAATGAATACCATCAACATTTCAAAAGCATTATATTCCATTAGAACGTGCCTAATCTGGCCAGTTCTCCTGGGACTATTTTCTCAGTTACTGATTATTTTAAATTATCAGCCTATTTCAAAAAATAAGGTCAGCTCTTAACTAAAGTTGAACTTCTAACTTCTGGCCTACTCCTAAGAGAGCAGTTTAAAATGTACAGTCATTCTACATATTTTTTTTTCCTCTGCCTCTTTCAGTTCATTTGGCAGCATTGATCTCTGCATTATTTCCTCTTGCTCATTAATTCAAGAATACAACCTATAAAGAGTAATACATTTCTAAGCTTCTGCTTTCAGAGGATTTTATTTTCACATTCTTACCTCTGAACTGTTAAGGTGGCATTTGTGAGTTCCTGAAAACCAGCCATCACTTGAACATTGGTCAATGTCCACTTTCTGAAGATTTATATCAACTTTCATGACTCCCCTAAAAGTGAAAAAGATAAAAAGAACAAATTGAGCCTTCACAATTTCTAGCCCTATTCTCTCTTGGAAATCAGCCAAACCAGCATAAAGAATGTACTAAAATTGCCCAGCCCTAATTTAACCAAATTGTACCAAGTGAAGATATACAATAGAACAAAAAACATAGTTTTATATAAGTCCCCAAAACTGTGACTTAAATTGTTCACTGTCTTGAACTCTTCAAAGATGCCTGACATATAACACGTGCTCGACAAAGGCTCATCTGCTGACTGAAGCCCCAGCAATACTGCTCAGGACATGGTAGAAAATTGAACCCTAAAATCATACTTGCCCTCAAAACACCTTTTATTAAAGAAAATCACAACTGGGCCCTCATCTCTTTTCTTCCTACTTCTACTTCCTGTTGAAGAACTGTGAACAAGGAAATTGAAGGAGGACAATGTCAGAGCTGTTTTTCCCTCTCATCTTTGATCACAATCACTTCGTACACCTCTTTGTGTCTCTGTGTCCCATGCCAAGCCAGAGGTTTACATGATCTATAGCAATGCTGATTAACATTCTCTTCTTTCAAATATCTAAGCAAAAAGATGACATATCACTTACACATTTGAGGAGCCAAACAGAGAATTCCCAAACTCATAGCCAAAAGCTAAATTGCCAAGAAAAGCTCAAAGTCACCTAAAACTCCTCCACTTCCTCCACCCAATTTCTCTGTATGTTCCGAAGATCTGTCTTCTATTTTTCAGCAGCACCAGCAGCAGCAGCAATCTGTCCCACACTGATTTGTCCCACCTGGACTTTACTGAGGTAAGTTTTTGTGTCTGGAACCCTGAAACCTGAAGCTTTTTAATACAGATTTTCAGAAACTTGAGTAAAGTATAAACTCCTCACTAAAAAGTACCAAGTAAAAGGTACTCTCATTTTGTTTGACATTCCCAGCTTAAACTATTTTCATTATGACATTAGCTAAATGTATAAAAAAGACCCAAATCCTCATTTTAGCTCATCTAGCCCACCCAAAGCCCAACAAATTACAAAATAAATGCAAAATTATAAAACTAACAAAAAATAAGATATTAATTTAAGAAAATCAGTGACCATGCATTACCCATAATGAATCACCTTCCCAAACAGGAATCTGGTACTTCTATTTTATCACATCTTCTGATTGTTTCCTCTCATCTCTTTTCTCCCTTGAAATTGTTATGAAATCTTTCATTGGAAAGGCTCAGTGTCCTTTGGGTATCACCTGGGGTGAATAAATCACACCTTTTTCCTCTGCTCCTTTCTTTAATCTCTGACAATAATACTATAATACTTAGTGCTAACATGCTACAAAGAGATACAGAAAACAAACTGGGATACTAAACCTCCTGCCAGTACCGCGTATCCGGATAATCTAGCATTTGCTTAAACTATATTAGGTTAAACTTGACATGCTCCCCAAAGCTTATGCACTAAAGGCTTTCTCTCTACTGCAGTGATGGTCAGAGTAGGCCCAGAGAAGCGACTGGACTGTGAGGGTCACAACCCCATCTGTGGATTAGCCACCCACGGTTTCAGCTGGTGGGCTCCAGTGAGAGGACGCAGGTCACAGGGGCTGCCCTTGAGGTGTGGTCTGTCCCTGCCCGCTCCCACTCTCTGTTTCCTGGCTGACAGGAAGTGAGCAGCTTAGCCTTACCATGCCTTTTCCGGGAAATGTTCTGCTTTACTTCCGGTCCCCAGAAATGGAGACAGTTAAGTGTGGCCTGAAACTGTAAGCCAAAATAAATCTTTCCTCCTTTATTTGTATATGTAAAATATTTTGTCCCACCAACAGAAAGCTAATTAACCCCAAGTTAATTTTTCACATGATCATTAAAATAAAAGCCCAAAAATTGTCATAGAAAATGTACAAATCTGGGCCAGGGATTTTTTAGCTCAGTGGTTCCACTGCCTGCCTCACAAGCACAAGGACCCAGGTTCAATCCCCAGTACCAAAAAAAAACAAAAAACAAAAAACAAAAAACAAATGTACAAATCCCTCAAAATAATATAATCCAGTTTGCAAAACACAACTGTGTGGAACAAAGTGCCACAACACAAGTGCATGTGATGAACAACCAGATTCCCAAGTAAACTAAGGCTTTGGCCAGCTCTCTCCTTCGCTCTTCCAACAAATATTTATTATCTGGTACGTTCTCTGTAAGACGTTCTACACAGGTGGAGGATGCCAAGGTGAACTACACAGGTCCCCAAGCAACACCACGGGATACCAAACACCTTAAAAAGCATTAAGATTTCTCAAAGAGAAAAGAAGCTAAATTCACTGAGGAATTCATTCATTCACTTGTGGAGGATATAAAAGCTATCATTGGGGAAAAGGAGGGATTCAATAAACATCTGTTCACTGTTAATTGTTTTCACCTGTCAGATTTTCAACAGAGGACTATTCCACATAGGTCACGCCAATCCTCTAAGCCCATTTCTAATTCTACTTTAGGCCTTTTAGAAAATAATATATTCCTTCTTTCCTTTATTCAGTAAATATTTATCGAGTGCCTACAATGAGCCAGAACTGTTTGTGTATTTTGAAATGCACTAGTAAGAAGCGGGAAGAAAAATCCTGCATTTTAGAGTGCAATTCCAGTGTGAGTTAGAAAATAAACAACTACTATAATAAATAAGTAAGTTACTGTGTCACAAACATTACACTATGTGCTACAAAGGAAGAAGTGATGTGGGGAGAAGCAGGTACAATCCTGTAAACAGATGGGAACAGGATGGGTTAAATTTTCTTTTACTAGCTGGCCAGAAAAGTCCCAACTGAGATGAGATCTATAACGCATCGTGCTGCCCAGCAGATAATTACGGCACTGTATTTCCACATTCTCAATCACCAGTGTTAAAATTTCCCACTGGACTACTATTGTCCACCACAGTCGGACAGTCTTCCTTTGACTGTCTTATTTAGAAAGTGTTTCTAAGTAGTAGACTAACTGGCAAATGCATTTCTGTTTGTACCACAACCGTTTGTAATAATGAGGTCAAGTTTTCCTCAACCAACTTCAATACTGGCAGGGCTCAGTCTCAAGAGAATGAAAATCTCAACATCTTCCAGTCTACTTGGGAACATTGGGTACTTTAGGATTACAGGAAGCTGCAATTATTCTGTCCCTTTCTGGAGAAAACTGCCTTCAGAACTGGGTCTCTTAATCCCTTAAATCTAAATTCGTATATGGAAACCAGAGTCACTACACACTCAGCTTGTGAAGTACATCAGACTTGCACCGAATCACCAGAGGTAATGAGCCATGCATTCACCAGCTAGGAAATCAGCGCTGACTCATGTTCATTAGCACCTTGTCTTGGGCCTCAGAGACCCACAAAACCCTGGGGAAGGCACTTCAGACTTGGGGCAGGGGACTTAGGGGATTAAGTGGGAGGAATCGCTCCCTTCTTGGTAAAAGATAATGTGCTGAGGGAAACACAGAGACCCAAACACCTGCGGTCTCCATGTGCAGACAGAGGCAAAGGCTCTCGGCATCTGCACCGTTCCCCTGTGCAAGGTCTCTGGGGCGGAAGTGCTGCTCCCACATCCCGTGAGTAGGTGCTGCTGGGAAGTCCTGAGAGTGAGGAAGTGCCTCCTGTTTTGAGGCTTCAAGACAGAATAGCAAAGGCTTAAAGAAGCCTGCTACATGTCTCCAGAGAATACGAAATACAGCAAATACTATCCCCCAAACACCTGAGCGCTCAGCTGCTCTGCAGTCTACCACACACTACTTTACTTGTCCATCAGAGACCTGAAATACAGCAACCCAAAAGTAGAAACACCCTTGTGATTCCTCTAAAGCTCTTTATGAATTGGCCTCCAGGTCAGGACAACTGCCAAATGCCTTTTCTTGACTCCCAGTGTGCTTCTTGTATCTTGACCTTTTCTCTCCATTTCTGTGACAACTGCTATGATTCTGGCCTTCGTATCTCATGGGACTAATTTTTTTATGACAGCTATTTGATTGTGGATGACATTGCTCCCGGTTTGTAGCTTCTGAAGTTTATAAAGCTTAGGAAGCAAATACAGAATTATTAGCACACATAACAATATGACCTTTGACCCTACAGCTTTGTGTTACAACTGGCTACGTGGGTAAACATCAAGTACAGTTTTACCAGAAGCTAATTCTATGCCAGAATGGCCAGCGAGAACTTAGCTATACTAGGAAGTGACTGTAAACTACTTTATATGATTGACTCGACCTTCCTAAATAATCCTGAATCTGACTTTAGTTGGTTTCCAAAAATGCCACCAAATTAGTGAAGGTATAATAGATGTGTCATACTAAAAAGAGTCTGTTTCAGTTAAAATATCTTATTTTTACAAATTTTATGAATACAGTTGACTGCCAAACTCATTTCTCTGCCCATTCCAGCCCTCGAAAAGGTCCCCATGCAAGCAAGGCACACTAAAGCATACACAGCATGCAATGAAGTCTATCGCCCTGCTATATATGCAGTCTTTGAAATAAGTAAATCAGATCCTGATAGTTCCCCGTTCAAGATGGACACTGTAATGAGCCTCCTGCTATTTCTGCCTTTCAGAATGCTTTTTCCAAAAAGTTCATGCTTTCTCACAAAAGTTGTTTGTTTATAGACAGATGCCTTTATAACTGAAGTCCTATATTCTAAATTGCACTTACCTTGTAACTCCTACCTGGCCCCTTTCTAAAGCCTTACATGAACTCCAAACCACTCCCACGTTCTCACTAGAACACACCCCATTTCGCATCACTTAGTATACTGTAATAGACAATCTTTAGTGATCTTTTTCTATACGACTACATTTTCATGGTCTGCGTCATACTTTTTTAACATTTTTCCTTCAGTCTAAGTCTGCCCACCATCTAAATTAACTGTAGAGAAACTTCAGATACTAAAGACAAGCAAAGAGTAGCTGAAGTTAACAATGACCACACACACACACACACACAGTGAGAAAAAATCCAAGCAAACTCAAAACGTGTA